TTTTTCTTTTATGCCAAAAATCATTAGGATATTAAGTAAAGATCATGTTCCATGAAGATATTTTGTGAATTTCCTACTGTAAATATATCAAAACATGTCATTTCATGATATATGATATATGAAAAATTGACCCTTAAGACTGGTTTTGTGGTTTAGGGTCACATATGTGATAGTGTTCAGGACACGAGGTTTCTGACGTCAGTAGTTTAGCAGCAATAAGCAATAAACTCACTATTACAGCACTGATGAGCTCAGATCATATAGCTGATTTATGAATGATCAAATGGAGGTGTTTGTCACTTAAAAGTTTTCCACAATGTCACTTCTGTAATGTTTGTTGTAATTCAGCGTCATTACCAGTAGAGGGAGACAGGTTCCCAACCTATTTTGTCTGAATGCCTAAATTACTAATATTAATGTTCAATTTTACTTTTAAAAAGTACACTTGAGATTTGTTCAAACCTTTCGATTAATATAAGACATAATACATTTAATGACTAATTGTTGCATAGAGAAGACAGAGGCAAGTTGTCATTGCAACAACATACAGTATGCAGCTGTATTTTATCAACTGTATCTTTTTTCTTGAATAATAATGTTCAGTAGTTTGTGTTCAAGACTTTAAAGTTTATACAGAAACTGACTGTAAAAAAAACAAAAAACAAATCTACTCTGACAAATAAGGAAAAAGTGTGACAACTAGAATGTGAAATACTGTACAGTACAGTACATTTTTGTAACGTGGAAAAAAATGAATAAAAAAAATAAAATATGAAAAAAGATATCTTATTTCAGCTCGAAGCACTTTAAAGCTAAATAAAGTAATACATAAAAAGAATAACTATGTAGACAAAAAAACCCTAATTAAAATGACAAAGCACAACAAAATTACTAAAACTATAAATTGTGAAAACAGAAAATATAAAAGAGTTCAAAAACCGATACTAAAATAATAACGGTAGTTGTTATTGCTATTATTATAACTAAAACTGGTAAAGAAAGCTGAAATAAAATATAAATATTAGATGAAAAACTTCTTAAAACTTTGAGCAACGATTAGAAATGTTGATTTGGCCAACGACCTGAAAGCAAATCATTCCAAGTTGAAGTACCGAAATTTTGTAAACTAAAACTAAAATTTAAATAAAATAAACTAAAGCACATAAAACCACACATAAACTAATAAAAATTAAAAAAGCACATTTCAAAATTGTTAAAATTTAAATTCTAAATGAAGATAAAAACCGAAAATATACAAGTAAAAGCTAAATATCAATATATATACTATAATAGTATATAAATCTCTACTAACACTGGACAATTTAGTTTTGTCTACAAACTATTTTAATATATTATATTATAAATCATAAATAAGACTAGTTCATTTAGATCTAACAAAAGCACATTATTTTATTTTATATTTATTTTTTATTTAGTCCAAAGTACTATTTAACATCACTGAATCAGCTTTTGTTGTTTTTTAATTGTTATTTTATTATTCAAATATTACACCAACAAATCAAAATTTATAGGGTAGCAATTGCAGGTTAGCACTTTTTACAGTGTAGAGTATATGACAAAGCACTTTGTTTTGTTGTGAATAATGCGCGCTGACCCTGAGGACTCTGTTGAAGTCTTCTTTATCCACTCTCAGGAAGTGGCAGTTGTCCTCTCTCAGTACGATAGACGCTGCCCGAGGTGCATCATTCACCAGAGCCAGCTTCCCGAAGTCATCTCCCTCATGTAACGTGCAAACTACACCCTGCAACGAGACGTGACCCACACAAACCAGCAAAGAAAAACATCTTCCAGCTGTAATTCAATTTGCACACACTCTTTCCTAGTAGCGATTAGCTGGTCTGCGTTATCACACATTAAACGCTTAATTAGTCTGTTGAATGTGAAGCATTAGTGGGGAATTACTAGTCTGACCTTTCCATAGATCACCACGTTAACGGAGCCCTTCAGGATGATGTACCATGACGTGCCCTCCTCCCCTTGATTAAACACTAGAACAAAAGAGATCGATAATGAGCATCAAACGCAGAACACAGACACATATTAGACAAATAATCTAAGGTCTAAACTCAGCACTCATTTAAAGCTGGTTAGTTCTGAATGGCTTGACTTCATTTTGTGAGTAAAGTTAGCAGGTTTGTGGTGTAATGTTTTGACACTTACACACTGTGCCTGCTTTGGCATGGGACTCAAATATCAGAACACCAGCTAGTTCCCTCTTCACCTGAGGAGAAAACACAATGCAATATATATACTGTATATACCTTTGAGAAGTGTACTTATGGAAATAACATACTTTAAAAGAATATACATGCAAAGTGAATGTAATGTTTTCGGACACTTAACTGCATGCTAAGTGAAAATGTATTACATTTTAAAATATTAAATGCAATTAGCTGAACTTTAGAGAGTTTTTTGACCCACTTACTGTAAGTAGGATATGTAATTTCATAATTATGTCTCGTCTTTGAAATATGGTTAAAGTACTGCTAAATGTACTGACAGGCCTTTATGATAAACAAAACTATATGTTAATGAGATTTCTATTTATGTCATGTATTTAAATATATTTGTCATTACACATCTGTAAAGATGAAGTTGCAGTTACTACATTTAAAAATATATTACCTTATAATGTAGTATTGAATAACACATTACAGTTCAATTATAATCATGTGCAATTACAATCAAGTCCTTTACCTGTGCTTTAATATGTTAGTTAGCACATCAAAATAAGTGTATTCTTTAAATCATGACAAGATTATACATGATGTACTTTAAACTATTAAAAAATCATATACTATTAAAACATAATGTACTTTAAAGTTAAAATTGGACAGCATTACAAAGTGAACTTTTTAAGAAGCAAAGTAATAAAAGTGAGTAACACTTAATTTTAAGGTGTTCTTGTTACACGTTACATGTACTTACTATTATAATAGTTCTTAAAGTGCACTTAAGTGGCCTTTTTATTTGGTTAATAAATTGTCTGGAAGTACAGTTTTTTTTATATATATAATCTCAGGATTTGAAGTACACTACAAGTGCACATGCAATACAATTAAACACACTTCTTTACTGTAACAAGAACACCTTAAAATAAAATGTAACCTAAAAGTGTACTTTCTTAAAGTGCACTTAAGTGGCCTTTTATTTGGTTAATATATTGTCTGGAAGTACAGTTTTTTTTATATATATAATCTCAGGATTTGAAGTACACTACAAGTGCACATGCAATACAATTAAACACACTTCTTTTTCACAAGCGTATGGTAAGTAAGGACTAGTTTTATGGATTTTGTCTTTTATGAAGATGAACAGCATCGCCTTCCATTCACTTTCATTTCATGAAAAACAGAAGCTTGAACATTCTGCAAAAGTTCTGCCTTTATATTACACAGGATTTTTTTTAGGGCTGTCAACGTTAAGGCGTTAACGCATGCGATTAATTGTACAATCCTTAACGCATTCAAATTATTTAACGCAATTAACGTAAAATTCCTGAAGCACAATTTCTATTCTAACACTTTAACCCACTTTTGCTTCTCTGCTTGCAATCAGATAATTTTAAGCTGCTAAACTCCGGGAAAGTTTTCAGTCCAATGATCCAGTGAGTGAATGCATTCAAACGATTCAAAACAGCGCTAATATAAAGAAACCAGGCTGATTACATCAGAGATTGCAGAGAGAACAGAGACTCGCGTTGCGTTTTCAGTGAATTATTTCATATTCTGTGATTGTCTCTGAAGAGCGCGAGCCCTCACACATCGCGCTGTGTGAAGTACAGACTGAGCGGATTGTCAACACATCCCACCGCTGTATGGCCAGATGAGACGTGACTGGATAACCAGTCTCACTACTAAAGTTTTGATGGAATCAAGGTAAAGATAATTGCGGTGGCGTACAGGAGTCGTACAGTAAGCACGCGTCCGTTATAATAATGCGTGTATGAGTAACGCACTGATCGCACATTGTATTTATGCACAGGCACAGACATTTCCCTACATTCACATTTTTTCCACACACATTCACGATAATGTTTTGATTTGTCATGCTTATGTTGCTGTGTTTAGTTATACTGAATGGATCCGTGTACTGTAGTACAGTGGTTCTCAAACCTGATTTTTTTTCTTTCATATGTGCTTATATGGGCTCCTTATATCATTTGGTTCTTTGGTGTCTTTTTGGAGTTTGTAAGTGTCCTTTTTTGGAAAGATATCTAAAATGTATCTTGAAAAAATCTTGCAGAAAATATTGATTTTTGAGAATCACCCTTCAATCTTTTGGTTTACTTTGCTGGATATAGCAAATGATGACAAAATAAACATTTGAAACAAGATAAATGGACTATGCTTAATTTCAAATTTTAATCGACTGACAGCCCTAATTTTTTTATATATATTTTTCGTTTACTGAAATGTGTGTATACCAACCTAATTCCCTCTAACTTCATATAATGTGTACTTACAGTGGTGGAGAGAAGTGATAAGGCTTTAATATGCAGCAGCTCCTCATAAATGATCTCCAGGTCATCTGCTGTCCTCTGGCCAGGCCTGCAGTGACAGGCAGAGAGGACACTGATGTCAGTGATGACTCTGAAACTTATTCTGACATTTTAAAAAGTTTTGTCTTAATCACAGAAAAAGGGTGATTCATTAGATTAATTCATTAGATTACAAATTTTAATCGATTGACAGCCCTAATTTTTTAATATATATTTTTCGTTTACTGAAATGTGTGTATACCAACCTAATTCCCTCTAACTTCATATAATGTGTACTTACAGTGGTGGAGAGAAGTGATAAGGCTTTAATATGCAGCAGCTCCTCATAAATGATCTCCAGGTCATCTGCTGTCCTCTGGCCAGGCCTGCCGAGAAAAGCAGGGAGGACACTGATGACTTTGAAACTTATTCTGACATTCTGGTGCAGATATTACATCTCCCAGGACCTTTAGAAGGTCTCTCCTTCAGTTACAGCATGCATATAAAAGTCTAATCTGCCTTTAAAGACTTTCAGACTATTCCAGCCAAACAGGAGCAGATACAGATCAGATCACTCGGAGGCACTTCTCTTAATTACCCAGAGTCCTCTGGGGGACGTAATGACTCATATTAACAGGCGCTGCTGCTTCTGAGGAACATACTGTTTACTCAGGATCATTCGCAGATGGGCGTCAGGTCCGATCTGAGAGAGGAGCAGGAGGGTGTCCTGTAGTTCTTCATCGCTCTCTTTCTTCTCTTCCTCAGTGGGGAGGGGTGCGTCCTCAGTCTCATCCTCCAGGAAGCGATAAAACAGATACTTATCTTGGAAACTCAGCTCCTGGTCCACTGCAGCCAAACACAGAACCAACCATATAGCACAGAAACACATGTGACCACATCACATTTGTAGTGTAAACAAAACTCATGAAAAATATACATAAGATACAAAAGTTCTCTCTGGGGCGGTGCCTTTTTAAAAGGTACTAATATGTACCTTTATGGTGCTTATATGTACCCTTTAGTGGCAAATAGGGTACAAAGTTGTATCTTTTGAAAGGAAAGGGTACCTGCCAGTGACAGCTTTTGTATATTTTCTAAAAGTGTAAGGAATAATGATCATCTGCATTACAGATTTTAATTAAGAACTGCCTCAAACTGTGCTCATATGTTGTGCTGTCCAATCACATTTATTTATATAGTGCTTTATACAATACCAGATTTACATCGATAAACAGTGTTAATGTTCATGTTAATGTTCGCTGTAATTCATCAGCTATAAAAATACTTACATTTCAGCCATAAAGCAGCTCTAGGCAATAATGTCATTATTCAGCTCAGTTCAGTTCAATATTGTTTTAAGTTCAATAACTGTTGCAAATTGCTGTGATTTACTATCTTAATCAATGACTGACCTGCATGTACACTAGTTTGGGGTTGGTAAGATTTTTTATGTTTTTTAAGTCTCTTATGCTCAACCAAAGCTGCATTTATTTCATAAAATATGTGAAAACAGTAATATTGTGAAATATTATTCCCATTTCTATTTGAATATATTTTACAATTTATTCCTGTGATGTCAAAGCTGACTTTGTAGCATCATTACTCCAGTCTTCAGTGTCACATGAGTTAGTAGTTATTTATTTTTATTGCCATGCCAGCATCTAAGGCATCTTAATGGCAAAAACTACAATAATACAAGAGTTACATAAACACAAAATAAAAACCAAGCAAACACAAAAAATAAGGCAATTAAAATTATAAGATTTTTTTAAATTAACATATGCTAAAAATTCTAAAATCTTTTCTGGTAAAATCTTACTAAACAAGTCCCTGAGTGAGCGTTCAGTGTCACATGATCCTTCAGAAATCAGTCTAATATGCTGATTTGCTAATCAAGAAACATTTCTTATGATGATTAATGCTGAAAACAGTTGTGCTACATAACATTTTTGTGGAAACTGTGATTCTTCGAAAAAAGAAAATTCAAAAGATATTTAACATTTATTCTAAAAAGATTTTTTTTCTTCGTAACATTAGAAATGTCTTATCTGTAACTTTTGATCAGTTTAAAATGCTCTTGTTGATTAAAAGCATTAATTTCTTTCACTTCTGAGTGATAGTGTACGAGATGACACACTCACCGTGGTTTAGGACGCCCTCCTCCAGCAGCACCTGCCAAATCCCTACAGCCTGAACACGAGCGTGAACACAGGAAGTGTGCTGCATCAGCCAATCAACGAGCTCCGTGCCCATACAGCACTGCCTACAACACACACACACACACACACATACTTGTATTTGTGGTTTATGGGGACTCTCCATAGGCGTAATGGTTTTTATACTGTACAAACTGTATTTTCTATTGCCCTACACCAACCCTACCCCTAAACCTACCCTTTACAGGAAACTGCTGGCAATTTTTGAATTTCATAAAACACCATTTTGTATGTTTTTTAAGCCTTTTGTTTTATGGGGACACAGGAAGTGCCCTCATAAACCATGTTTACCAGAGAGAGAGAGAGAGAGAGAGAGAGAGAATACAGATAATCCACTGAGCCACTCCACACAGAGAGCTGTATTTAATGACTTATAGACAGTGTTGGGGAGTACCTATAGTTACATGTGATGGAATTACGTAATTTAATTACAAAATAAAAGTAACTGTAATCTGTTACAGTTACTGAGAAAAAGTGTAATTAAATTACAGTTACTTATGAAAATGTTAACGATTACAAAGGGAGTTACATCTGAATATTTTAACACATACAGATTAAATTGATTTCGTTCCAAAATTGCATTGAGTGCTCTAAAATATGAGACACCAATGTTTCAGGAGTTTATTAGGACACAGAATAGGACACATGCTTATTCGATAACTGTTTTATTTCCTATTTGGGTTTATGTATATACTTTATTTTTTAAGATTAACAGATTTTTTTCCAAGGCATTGTTAGATGCCAATGTTTCCTGTCGTAGCTATGCAAAGAGTTGATTTCAAAAACAGTATCATAGCTATTAAACTATATCTTGTTATGATTTGAAATCTGGATTTAACCTCAGAATGATCTCAAAGTAAAAGAGGTGCTAAAGTCCGATTTTGTGGTGGCTGTGGTTTCAAAATAAAATTATTACAATCTTAATTCAAGTGAGGAAGGATTTTGAAAGTCTGACAGTAATCAGTGTTGAGTAGCACTACTGTAAGGATAACTCTGCCTGCTTTAAATGTTTCAAAATGATTTAGAAAAATGTAGAAAAAAAAATAGAAATTTAAATTTAGAAAAGTAATCCAATGTAATCAGTTACATTACTTTAATAAAGTAATTGAAATAGTTACACTACTTATTATGAATAGGGTAACTTGTAATCTGTAACCTATTACATTTCCAATGTTACCTTCCCAACACTGCTTATAGAATATAAGAATATAATAAATTATAAAATATATAATATTTAACACAGTAAATAATAATAACAACAATACTAATAAAACCCTAAGACTACACTTACCTGTATGTTTTAAGGTGGTACTTCCTGTCTCTGATAATGTGAGGTGCTCGGGACAGGATGGTGTTTCGTAACACTTTACCTGCCCGCAGGATCTTTTCTGACGGCACCTGAGAGACAAACAGAGAGAGACAGACATAAACCACTCTATACATAACATATAATGTATATGTCAAACAGCTCAACACTGTGACTGACAGCTGTCAGACCGATAACAGGATGGTTGGAATACCTGAGTAATGGATTCGGGGGGATGTTTGGTGGGACTTTGAATGAATGATTTATGGAAAACAAAAGGATGGGGATGAGATGGATGCAGGACCATTAGGTTTGTTCTTTAGCCTTTTGTTAACCTTTACACAACACAGTGAAATATTGGCAGACAGTTTAAGTGTATATTGTTTATGGCTGACAGAGTAAACTGTAAAACTCTTTAATAATAAATGACTGCTTTCTGTGAAATATTCAGCCACACTGACTCCATATATATGGGAAAATGCAGAGTGAGCAATATCATAACATCTCATTTGCTGAGGCATGACTTTTCCAAAAAGAATTTACAATATCTTGAGTCACATGTTGAAGAGAAAAAGCATTTAGATAATTAAAAAAAAAAAAAAAATGTAAACATTACATAAAATTGTGATACTCAGAAAGCAACATTTGCACATTTTCTGGAGAAAAGACAAATAAATAAACTATATTTTCACACAACTACACTACCTAGTATGCATGTGTGTGTGTTCATTCATTCATTTTCTTGAACCTTTATACCTATATTTTCATTAAAATATTTAATTAGCGTGTTTCGTTCATGTTCAATGCTATAAGACAATGAAATCCCATGCATCAATGTTTTAAACTATATTTACATGCTAAACTAAATTTTGGTGAGTCAATTTGGTTGTACCGAAATTCTTTGAAAGCGCCATTTTTTTCATAACAAACCCATCAGCATTAAATCATCTGCTTTAATATCAGAACAAATGTCATCATAAGCAGCTTGTGTGTAGAATTCTGCTGATGTCCAGCTATTCTCTTCTCATATTTCATAATAATTCATGTCATGGTGTCATACTGCAGTGTTTCTCAGCGCTTCGAGCAGAAGGCACGTCTGGGGCACTGCTCTCCCTCCTGACGCTGGGCCAGGGCCAATCTGCTGCATTTTTAACCAAACCATTTAAATAATTCATGACCATCCTCACCCAGACTGTACATCTACAACAACACACGACCCATCATCAAACTCTACAGTGATTATCACTAGACACACTTCACACTGCTTCTATCAATCAGTCAGTGTGTTTGACAGTGTATCAGTTTTGCCAACAAAAATATCACATTATATTTAAGATAAAAAACTAGAGGCAAAGCCATTTAAGACCTTTTTAAGACCAAGTAAAGAAATACATCAATGTGTTCTCTTAATGTAAATGTCTTGTATTAGCAACTCTTCAAGGTTTGAAAATACAACTTCCAACCAAACTCAATTACTTTAATGATTTTTAAATAAAGATACATTTTCTTGGTGTTTATCATTAAAACGGAAAAAAAAATCTGCGTAAATGTTTCTCTTTGAGTCTAAGAGATTTTATACCCTATTGACAGATATTTGTTCCTAAGCATAAACTCACAAGTAAATGTATCGTTTACAACTTTTTTTAGATATTTGTATTGGAAAATAACAAAAATACAGAGGAATACTGATTAATTTTTAGCAATGCAATATTTAATTCCATTCCTTTATGAATTTAAGACTTTCTGCTCTGATTTAAGACCTTTTTAGGCCTTAATTTGTGGAAGGGCGAATTAAGGCTTTTTAAGACCTGCAGAAACCCTGTTTATGAATTGGTCAGTTTTGAGATTTAGGGCTAATTTGATATTTACTGATGTTCTGAAAGTTTTGACAGAGTGCATATTTAATTAGATAATTCCTTTTTTTCTTACTTTTCAGACATTTCAGAAATCTTGTAATACAAAATGTATTGTGTTATGCTGTGAAAAAGTGGCTGAAGAAATATGGTGATATCTATTAGTTTTAATCTGTTTTCAATACACACACATACACACGCAGGCACGCACGCACACACACACTCACACACACACACACACACACACACACACACACACACACACACACACACACACACACCC